TGCGATACGCGGGCCTCTCACTGTTGTGGCCTCTCCCGTTACAGAGCACAGGCTCCGGATGTGCAGGCCCAGCGGCCATGGCTCACGGGCCCAGCCACTCCGCGGCACGTGGGATCTTCCTGCACCGGGGCAGGAACCCGTGTCCCCTGCATCGGCAGGCAGACTCTCAACCACTGCGCCACCAGGGAAGCCCCTGCTTAGATTTTTTAAATTAAATTAAATTAAAAATTTAGTTCTTTCATTGTAGTAGCCACCTTTCAGGTGTTTTATACTGGTACCTACAGTATTGGACAATGCAAGTGTGGAACATTTCCACTGTTGCAGTGCCCTAGAGTTTGTACCTAGAATTTCTATGTAGGAAGAATTCGTGGTTGGTAGTATGATTGAAATAGGGGGTTAGGGGTTTGTCCTGAAGCTGCATTGGATGCCATTTTGTACATAGATTGTATGCTTGTACATTTGTATATGGGAGAGGGGCTGATGGAAATTAAGTGGGGGTAGAATAAGTCTCACAAAGCCAAGCTACTCTTTTATGCAACTATTGTTCTAATCACATCAAAGTATTTTCCTCAAAAAGAAATTGCACTTAATTACCTCAAGGCATTTTTTCACCTTGTGGTTATCTCTGTTAACTATTGCTCGCCCCACAAAAACTACTCGCCACAACAAATCACCCACCAATGCCCAGCCTCAAATGCCCCTTCCTTTGGGAAGTTCCCATAGCACCCCTTTCCGAGGCTCCCAGAGAATATAATGTAAATCCCTATTATAGTATAAATCACAGCCTTGCCTTGATTATGTTTCGTTGTATGTCTCTGACTCCTCCATTAGACTCTGATCCTGTCAAGATCAGGGACTTTGCCTTCCTGTTTTCTAAATATTTCCCCAGGGCCTAGTATAATGCCTTACCCACTGCAGGAGCTGAGTAACTGTTAAATTAACTTTTATTTATGTATTATTATTATATATATATTTTTTCGCGGTACGCGGGCCTCTCACTGTTGTGGCCTCTCCCGTAGCGGAGCACAGGCTCAGGACGCGCAGGCCCAGCGGCCATGGCTCATGGGCCCAGCCACTCCGCGCATGTGGGATCTTCCCGGACCGGGGCACGAACCCATGTCCCCTGCATCGGCAGGCGGACTCCCAACCACTGCACCACCAGGGAAGCCCTAAATTAACTTTTAAATAGCTTAGGTTCTAAAAGACTTTCTGACTCTCAATCTGTTCCAAGCACAGTCCTCCCCATCCCAGTTAGTGGTAACTTCATCCTTCTAGTTACACAGGTCAAAAACTTTGGAGCCATCCCTGCTTTCTTGACTCCTCTCTTTTCCTTGTACCATTTTCCATCACTTCCACTGTTATTACCCAGTTCTTATTACCATCTCTCCTTGGGATTTTTGCAGTTGTCTTATACTTGGTTACCCTACTTTTACTTTTGCATCTCTACATTATTTTCAACCCAGCAGCTAGAGTGATTCTTTCATTTTACATATATTAAAAAATTATGTGGAGCTTAGTATGTACCAGTTACTATTCTAGGCAATTTACAAATGTTAACTTATTTATCCCTCATAATGACCCTCTGAAATAGAAACTATTATCCTTGTTTTACACATGAGGAAAATGAGGCACAGAAAGATTAATTTGTCAGAGGTTGCCTAGCACATAGAACATAAATCATATAATATCACTTCTGTTTTTAAAACACTCCCATCTCAGAGTACATGCCAAAGTCTTTCCAAAGGCCAAAGGCCTAAAAGGTTATATGTGGTCTGCATCTCACCCCTGCTTCTCTACTTTATTTTCTTCCATAGCAATTTTTAAATTTATTTTGTCTATCTCTCCCCAAACAAATTAAGCTCTACCACAACAGATAGGGATTTTTCTCCACTTCCCCACTACAGATTTTTTTCTCAGTGCCCAAAACAATGCCTTGTATAATAGGCCATCTTTAAATAACTGTTACTCAAATGAATGTACCTCTTCTCATTTACACTAAGTGAAAACTTTTTAAAAAAGAAAGTAAAAACAAGAATTTCAGGATTCCTGAATTTTAGAATTATATAAATTCAACATTTTTATGTGTTATAATCCTTAGGGCTTACTATCCTATGAGTGTTTATAAAATCAAACAGTATCAAAAAAGTAATAAGTTGTATAAAATTAAAACTTATGGGTATATACAAAACTCCATTTAATTATGGGCAAATTACTTAGAGCAAGAATGAAAACAAAAAGCAGCACTCTTTAGCTATTTAAATGTGACAGATTTTTAAAAATCATAAGTGAGAGAAGAGCCTAAAAAGAGTGTAGGTTTTGGTCAATTTCATAGTTTGGATGAAGACAATCTTAAATGGATTCTGCCTGCTACTCTAAATGCCCAAGAACAAAGCTTTGACTTTTGGGCAGAGTTGTAGCAAATCAGCAACTGTGGTGTGTTAGATTCCAAGATGATTGTTCCCTTGTGGAATACCTGAAAAACAATTCAGTGAGGGCAGCACCTATATTTTTTTTTTAGAAAGAATTTTTAATATTTATTTATTTATTTGGTTGTGCTGGGTCTTAGTTGCAGCAGGCAGGCTCCTTAGTTGCAGCATGCGAACTCTTAGTTGTGGCATGCATGTGGGATCTAGTACCCTGACCAAGTATCAAACCCGGGCGCCCTGCATTGAGAGCGTGGAGTCCTATCCACTGCACCACCAGGGAAGTTCCAGCACCTATAATATTTTTAAGATCAAGCAAAGAATGTGGAAAAGACCGATGGATATCCATCAATAATAATTTAAATAAATAATCAAATATTTTAAACTATGGTAGTGGTCAGTTTCAAGAGCTGCCTGCTATTTCACATTATTGTGTTCTTTTTTCCACTTCATTTTCGGAAATTATGTACGTGCTCCTGAGGTTCATCTGCTTCAATTTTCTTTTACATTAAACTGCTCAAACACCACTGCATTGGGCTTTCCTTTGGATGAAAGAAGGTTATTCTTCGGTATACTTAACACTTAAAAAAAATGAATTATTCCATATTCACAAGAGCCATCTATCTAATTTGTAAACACGCTTATTTCTGGATTCCAGTCTCATAGATCTTCATTCTCCAGGTTTGGGAGTGGAGCCCAGGATCCTACGTTTCAGACCTTTCTTTAAGAACTACTCGACTCAATGCTATTTTCATATTTTGCTGCTTTCAAAATATTAATTTTAGACATCTAAAGAGGGGAGGGCAAACTCTGGTGGCTGTCAGAAGGAACAAGAATGAGCGGCCCACGTTGTACCATGTTGCAAAACTTTTCCTCAGTTTGCAGATCCTCCGTCCCTGGGGAGGAAATCAGTTTATTTTCACCAAGTAATTCACCATTTTTCAACCATTTCCGTCCACGTCCCTCAGGATGAACCCCAAAAGTCATGAACTCATCTCCGCGGCATAAGATAAAGCCCTGTTCGTCCCGCTTGCCCTCATAGGGCCGCGGGAACCGGTTCGCTTCCCGCCAGCCGGGCTCCTCCTCCGCTCGCCTTTTGGGTCCAGTCCTCCTGGAGGCGTTAGGCGCGGCAGGTCTTGGCGCCAACCGGGTGGCGGCGCTGTCTGCCCCGCGCGCCACCGCCTCAGGCCCGAGGGAGGCGGAGGCACGGCCCGCGGAGGAAGGGGCGGGAGCGAGGCGCGCGTCCTTCTCTCGCGTGCTCCCGCACCGCTCGCGTGACCGACCGGTGGGTGAGAGAGGCGCCGGCTGCCCGGAGCACGGACTGCCGGGCGCGCGCTGCTGCGAGGGGCGTCTGGGTCCGGATTGGCGGACCCGGCCGGCGCGAGGTGCCGGCTGGCGGGCCCGGGGTTCCGGGGCGAACACACGAGCACACGCTCCCGGAGGAGCCTTTTCCGAGGCTGCTCTTCCTCGGCCAGACGGAGAGCGGCAGTGTCTCCCCGCCCAGCGCTCACTCGCCCCGCGTCTCCCCCCGCGGCGACTGCTCCTCCTCGGCACCGCCAGCCCCAGCGCCGCTCCGGGGCGGGCGGCGGCGGCGGCGGCGGCGGCGGGACCGGCGGAGCCGCTTTGTGTGCAGCCCGGAGAGGGGCGGCGGCGCAACCACCTGACAGAGGCCCGGGCGCTCGATGCACCTTCCGCCCGCATGAGGAGGAGGTAAAGGCGGCGGCGGCTCGGCTCCCGCCCTCGGCTGGTGGAGGGAGGGGACGGAAGGGGAGACCGGAGCGGGTGGGGGGTGGGGGCGCAGGACCGAGGCCCGGCGGGGCTGCCCGGAGGTGCCGGTAAGGCCTCGGCGGCGCCGAGTGGCCGGGGGCGAGAGAAGCCGCCGGGGAGCCTCAGCCGAAGTTGAAGGAACAAAATGTGAAGTGCGGAGCCGCGTCAGCCGCTTCCTGGCTTGGGGTTCGGGGTGGAGGGCGGCTTGTTTTCCCCTCCCGCGGGGGTGGGGGAGCGGAACACGGGAGGGGCGGGAGCTCTGCCTGGCAAGGGCGTTCGTCCCCGGGAGACGCCGCTGCGTGTGGGTCCGGTTGGGTCCCTAGTTTTGCGGCCTAAGCCGAGCCCTATAGGCCTCGCGTCTCCTTTCCCGGAGGGGACCGGCCGGGTGGGGACTCGAGGCTTCTCTCTGACCGAGCGGGGGCTTTAGGGGCCTTGCCGGGCTCTCGAAGACGCCAAACTTCGGACTTCGGTGTTTGGGGGTGGATTTCATTGTGAAAGGAGGACTGGGAAACTCCTGGCGCTGCCCGGGGCTTCCCGCGGCCGCCGGTGCCAGAGAGCCCAGTGGGCCCGGTGTTGGAGGGGCCCGCGTGGGTGGGCGCGGCGCGGCGGCCGCCAGGATCCAAGCCCCGGGAAGGAGCGGGTGGCGGGGCCGCCGCGAGTCCCCGGCCTCCCGGGAGAAAGGGCCCTTTGCAGATTAGAGATTTTTGAAATGAAAAAAGAGGTTACAAAGTCGTCCCTTTCCCGCTGAACTTTTGTTTTCTGACCGATAGAGGCCGGTAGAGGACTGTGAAAGAAAAGTTGTCCCCCAGGATGGACTTCTCGACCGCGCAGCCCAAGCCTGCCCCTGCCCTCTGTGGCGTTGTGAGTGCCGATGGGAAGATCGCTTACCCTCCGGGGGTAAAGGAGATCACCGACAAGATCACCACCGACGAAATGATCAAACGACTGAAGGTAAGCTCTTCTGGACCGAATGTTCACATTTCAGACGTTTGTGGTAGGAGGTGCTCTCTCCTGTGGTATTACAGCTCTGCTGGGCCTGGCCTTTAAGAGTTTCACTGACCAGGGCTTTTTTTGTTTGTTTGTTTGTTTTTTGTTTTTTTTTTAGGTATTTTACGTTTTCTCTTTTACCGCCTCTGAAAGGTATTGTTCTATCTTGGCTATATCTTTGAATGGTGATTTCTGTTAGGGGCATAACCATTATGGGAAATTAGAAGGGTGTGTGTGATCTTACTTTTTTTTTAAGTATAAGAATTCGAGTATTTTTTAAGTTTTTTTTTTTTCTAGAAATATTTACGAGAATACTATTCAGAGTAGCTTGCAGCCTTAAAGGTAGGCAGTAATTTGCTTAGGAAGGTTTTCATCAACTTCTGAGGAGACTGATTTATCAAAGCACAAAAGGCATTTTAAAAATTATCACAATTTTCTAAAGTACAGAAGCTTAAATATGTATATAGTATGGTTAAACTTTGACAGAAGGTACTGACTTTTCAAAATTCAGGCTTGAAGTAAGGTGATGATTTATGTCCACATGTTCAGAGGGGTTTGTGTGTGTTTGTTTGTTTAAGTATTTATTTGGCTGTGCTGGGTCTTAAGTTGCGGCACGCAGGGATCTAGTTCCCTGACCAGGGATCAAACCTGCGCCCCTTGCATTGGGAGCACAGAGTCTTAACCACGACCACCAGGGAAGTCCCCAGAGGGGTTTTAAGAGAGAGTGATTATGGCTCTTTTTATGAGTCAGTGTATTTTTAAGCATGGTGGTCCTAATGTCAAGGTTATAAGTTTCAGCCTTAGGTAAGTTAATTTTTTGCTTTTTGTTGCATGGACATAGATTGTGGACACAGCCTTACAAAGTAAGTGCCGTTCTTGTTAAGGGATCAGCTTGATGCAGTGGTTCTCAACCAGGACATCTTTGACCCCCAGGAGACATTTGGCAATGCTGAAGATGTTTTGGTTGTCACTATCGGGGCTGGATTGGAGCAGGGTAAGACTGGAGACAGGGAGTCCAGCTAGGAAACTGTTAACAGTAGTCTAGGTCAGAGATGTTGAAATCATGAAGTAGGGCTATGATAGTGGGAATAGAGTGATAGGGAACGTTACAAGACACATTTCAGTATTAGAATCAATCAGAGTTGGTGGGAGGTGAGGGAAGAAACGATGTTGACACTTTGCCAGTCTTCACCTTGGGCACTTGGTGAAATGTATTTTAAGGAATAATCTTGCCCCTTTGCTTTTAGAACTTACAGTGCCTAGTAAATGTTTACCATGTTATGAGTGATTAATATTTAAAGTATTCCTATAGTTTGTTGTTAAAAATCTAATTGGATTCTGCGGTTTGTTGCCCCTTTGGAAGGAATGGGACACAATGCCGTCCATTAAAATAAACCTTGATACTAAAGACTGTACATAAAGTAGGGTGCTTGATTGATGCTTCTTAAGGTTATATTGTTATTGTTCTTAAGTGTTCTGAGATGCTGAAATATGAATTATGAAATATAAAGCTAAGTTAAAAAATTTATAGGTCCTTTAATTTTTATTTTCATATTAAGAATATCAAAATGTTGAATTCTAGTGATGGATAATCTGGTTAAAAAAAGAAAAGTTATGACTGTATATACATCTTCCATTTGGAAATAGATTAAATATCAGAAATATTGTTAACTAGAAGTTGACACCAAGTCTAGAATGAGCATACGGTTAGAATATTCATTCTTTATGAGTTCTTTTGGAAGTTAAATTTGATACACATATTAACCAATTTGAATGTCCTATTGCTAAAATTTTGCTTTTCTCAAGAATTATGATTCTGTCTTCCTCGTGCCTTTCTAAGTCGATTTTGACTTTGTACATTTTAGGGATCCATGTTTAAAGTATTACTGTCTTGTTGGAAGTATAGGTTTCAAACAATATTTAACTGTATTTTTGATAACTTTCGTGTTATTTATGGATAAATTTTATAAATTCGGTAGTTTGTTATAACACAGTAACAATGTTCAAATGCTGTGTAAATACAAAAGCACTTAATGGCAAGTAAAATCTTGGTAAGTGGGGCTTCCCTGGTGGTGCAGTGGTTAAGAATCCGCCTGCCAGTGCAGGGGACCTAGGTTTGAGCCCTGGTCCGGGAAGATCCCACATGCCACGGAGCAACTAAGCCTGTGTTCTAGAGCCCTTGAGCCACAACTACTGAGCCCACGTGCCACAGCTACTGAAGCCCGCACGCCCAGAGCTTGTGCTCCGCAATGAGAAGCCCACACACTGCAATGAAGGGTAGCCCCCGCTCGTCGCAACTAGAGAAAGCCCGCGTGCACCAACGAAGACCCAACGCAGCCAAAATTAAAAACAAATAAATTAAAAAAAAAAATCTTGGTTAGTGGAATTCAGAAATGTTTGGTTCATTTTCTTCAGTTTTCAAGACTGGAACAAGCATTTTTACAGTGGAACCATAATTTTAGACTTAGAAGGATTCTAAAAGAAATTCTGGAACTCCCTTTATTTCACAGATAACAAACGTTAGACCCAAAGTAGCCAGGTAACATTTACCAAGGTCAGCCATAGGACAGGTTAGTGGCAGAGCCAGGGCAATAGCATCATGTATCTTTTTATTCTTATAGCTGCTTTCTTATAAGGAATCTAAACAAAGTTGAATAAAGAAGTTGTGATTTTTATTATGCAGTTGAAAACAGTAAAGTGAAAAGAGAAGGGAATAAATGAGAGTTAACTTGGTCTTTTGCAGGGAGATATGGTACAGCGTTTTTTTTTTTTTTAACAGAAATTATTGTGATGCTTTGAAGCTTTCTTGAAAATAATTCTTAGAGTATATCTTTGGAAGAATTTAGACATACTTTTGTATTTTAGAAGTTTTAATTTCTGTTTCCAAGGAACTACTTTAAATATTTTTATGTCCAATCACACTGGCCTTCTGTCAGTTCCTTGAACATGCCATGCTCATTTCTGTCTAGACAGATTTAGAATTATGTAGCCCATATATATACTCTTCCTCCCAGTTCATTAAGGGAAGTCTCTTAGATTCCGTTAATACATTCTTTTAATTCCTTCATATCACTTATTACAGATGTGATATTACATTTATGCATATGTTTATTTGGTTTGTCTCCCCAGCTTCTCTGTAAGCTTCATGAATATAGGTATCACATCTATTTGCTTAGTTTTGTATCCTCCCAGTGCTAAGTTTAATACCTGGCACATAGGTTCTCAACATATATTCCTTGAATGAATGAATGAATACTTTTTTTGTTTGTTTGTTTGTTTGTTTGTTTGTTTTTGGCTGTGTTGTGTCTTCTTTGCTGCTAGGGCTTTCGTGGAGTCGGGACTACTCTTCGAATACTTTGTATTAATACTGGTTTAGAGAAATATTTTTATTTTTGAAGATGAAGGATAATTTGAAAATATTTTGAATTGCAACTAAGTACTTTATCTGAGATTGCATACTAGAGATGATAACACAGATATTTAGAATTTTAGAACCAGAAGGTAGCTTAGAGGTTATTTCATTTTGTTCTAATTTTCTGGATGAAGAAACTGAGTCTCAGAGGTTGTGACCAACCCTAGTCACATAAAGCTGAAAACCATCATTAACAGTTTTGTTATTTAGATAAATTACAAATATATATTAATTGGCAGAAATATTAAAATTCATACAAAGGCTGTTTGCAAGGATAGCAGACATTTTAATACCAATGTTACATTAAGCATCAAGATTCATTAAGGATTCTGAAACTAATGCAGGTCATGTCTGATAAGTTTAATAAACAAGATACACCTGTAAACAATGTTGTACAAAGTTCCATTAAGTGCTTCTGCCCACAGTTTGTTATACACAGTCTATCTCAGATCATGTATTACAAAGCTGTGTGCTACAGACTTTTTTTTTCTTCCTTTTTTGCTATTTTGGAAGTGGAAAGCCCTTGAAAGCCTTCGTTTTTAAAGGGAGGGATTAGGATGAAGTTTGTTACTATATCCATTTCTTATTATCTGCTCTCAGAGTTCAGTGCCCCAGACAGTTCTCTAGCCACAACTCCATACCCAAACCTGCCATATTCATTCTGTCACAGAATCAAATCAAAATACTTATTACCTTGGTGCTAAGAATTAGGAAAAATTAAATAATAGGGTTTTATTGTTCTGAAAATGTCCCCCACTTTTCTCCCACTAGGTGTTACTTCTGTGTTTTCTTTGTATTTTTCTGTAATCTTTCTCTTTCTGTCAGCCATTCTCCCTCTTCCACATGCTCGTGCTTCTGCTTTCTATAGTCTGGCCTGTTGGATAGTTCAGTAGGAATTGGGGTATGGTGAGCTTGATTTAGGTAGGACATCTCCCTTTTCTCATCAGACCTAGGTTGGAAGAGGGGAGGAATAGATTAGGGGCAGGAAGGCCATGAATTCTTTCATTTTTCTTCCCCTCAGGTGGACCTCAGAAATACTTGATTTGTTGTAATTATTTTCACTTGCATAAATGACTTTTATTTATCCCTAATTGCCACATAGTATGCTAATTTTGCTCATAATTCAGTATGTAATTTCAAGTCTGAATTTTGTTTATATCTTTTACTTTAATATTTGTATTAATGCAGAAGATTCTGCTAAGTAATTAAGTTAAATGGAGAGGCAAGATTTCTTAAAATGAAGTCCTAAAATATAGCCAATATACATTTGTGAAGTAATACTTCATGCAGCACAGCTTTTATTTTATTTATTTATTTATCTATTTATTTATTTATTTTTGGCTGCGTTGGGTCTTCGTTGGTGCGTGCAGGCTTTCTCTAGTTGCAGTGAGTGGGGGCTACTCTTTGTTGTGGTGCGCGGGCTTTTCATTGCGGTGGGATCATACAATATTGCTGCTTTTGTGACTGGCTTATTTCACTTGGCATAATGTCTTCAAGGTTTATCTGTATCGTAGTATGTGTCAGAATTCATGTGTATAACATCTTCTGTTTA